CCTGCAGCTCCACGCTGCAGAAAACTGCAGAGTTATGTGCCTGTGAACTTGCAAAACGTTGTAACTGCCCCTTGAAGCAGGATTTCAGGGTAATATTTTCGTAATTCTAGCCAACAATTTACTGATGTGATCCGGAGCACGTGTGTTCTGCTGACAGTGTTGCAGAAGGAGTTGCTGTGTACGAGGCTGTTTTCATTCAGTTTTTACTGAGGTGTAAAAACTGAGGATCCCAACTGGTACGAGAGAGCCAAGAACCTTTTCAGAACTAAGCTGAAACGGCTTTGAAGTATCGCGTGTTAGCGATGAGCAGGGCTCTGTGCTTGCTGCGATCCAGCTCTGAATTCTGGAAAATCCTGGTATAGGAGTCCTGTCTTTTTGGAAGGGAACACACCACTTTCCAGAAAGAGCAGCTGTAGATAACAGCCGCTGCGGTCGCCGTCCCCGTGGAAATGTTGAGGGTTTGTGCACAGAGACACGCGGATGCGCTGGCTGGTTGTGGCTCTCGGGCAGGAGAGCGTTGTGTCGCGGTCTTCTGCTGCTCTATGTTGACGTGTTCCTCCTAACGCAGAGCCCGTCCTTCAGCCAGACGCGCTCCGTCCTGCTTTTGTGGGGTTCCCTTCTCCGCAGGAGATGTCGTTTCCCTTTCCAGCTTCCTAAAAGTGCCGTTTCCCCACTCGGCGGTTCGATCCATGATGCAGTTGCTGTGCTGGACGTGGTGGACGAGGAATTCCGGTTCAAGGGAGCTCTTGGCAGCTCTAACGGTGGCGTCAGAGCCGAGGTGGGGAGCTGAGTGGTGAACAGAGAGAAGGTAGAACGGTTCCTGATTCCTCCTCTTGTCCGCTCCGGTCCCCTGCGGTATCACCTCTTGCCCAGGCTGTAAATCCTTGGAAATAACCACTTCCTCGGTGTTTGTACGCAGAGAACGACTGGAGGCTTTCCAGTAATAGTAGAAAGGGTTGTTCAAATGGGGCAATCTGTCTGCTTTCTCAGCTGGCAGTGAGTCAGCAGCTCTCTCTAAAACATTTAACACAATTTTCTTAAATCCCAGACCCTTGTCATATATGAATGTGCTTTAGAATTGTGAGGCTGAACTCCTCGAAACGAAGGCCCGAATTTCCCATTATTTTTGAGCACGGAGTGTCATATCGCGTATATTTGCAGAAACTCGAGGAACCTCAGCACCGACTGGAGCCGGTGAGACTTACAGGTGTTTGGCAGTGTAGAAATTGGATCTGAGATTTGTCAATCTCTGAATGCAAAGCCAATGTCCTCTTAGAGATTTGCTTTCAAATAATTTGGGAATTACAACGACTTTTTTTTCTCCAATCAGCAAAATGCGGAGCATGCGGCCCGGGATACGCAACTCCTCTGGACGCCATGAAAGGCAAGTGCTGACGTCTTTTCTTAAATTCAGGCCGTCAGTGAAGGAATTGTTTTCAGATTAGGTGAAGACTGGGACGATGCCTTCCAGAGTGGCTTGTCGATTAGCAAGGCCAAGGAGACTTTAAATATCAGAAGAGATTTTGTGTCATTTTGCTCCCAACTCTGGGCAAAGCGTGCAGGCTCCGTTACCCCGAGTTCACGGAATCGTGGTACTGAACCCACGTGGGTCGGGGTTCAGCTATAGGTGTGGCTATAGGGTGCTGGTGTGCGACAAGCTGTTCTGGTTTTCTGTGCTGCAAAACAGAGTTTTGCTTTAAGAGCAGAGAGGAGAGGCCTGACGTGGCTTGCAGGTGGGAGGGTGGTCTCCAGCACTGTCCTGTTTCAGCAGAATCAGTGCATCCCCAGAGTCTCACGTTAGGAGGACAAGGGAGTAGAAGGGCCCTACAGCTGAATAAGCACTTTTTCCTGGCGATTTCTGGCTGCTCAAACCATCTACTACGAGTATTTTTCCATACAATGGACATCCTGAGGTCCAGCTTCCTAGGAGAATCGCAATTACGGACAGGGAGGTTAAATCCAAAGAAGATTCTCTTAAAGCTAACCACAGCTTTTTGTAAAAATAGTTTCTTTTAAACAAGATTTCTACTTAAAGGTCCCCGGGAGGAGGTTGTGTACCTGCCGTGTATCTACAGAAACACAGGGGTCGAGAAGCCTGACTACCTGGCCACGGTGGACGTGGACCCCAAATCTCCACACTATTCTCAGGTACGTGTCTGGAAATGGCTCCGGTGCTCCAGTTGCTGGAGTCGTGAATATTTGGGATCGCATAATCTTTTTTGACTGTTGAGAACCAATCAAATCCTCTGCCGTTTTTCTTACCAGGTTACTCAAAGCTAACATTTGTCTTGTTGGTCTCAAGACACTTTCAGAGCCCTTTTGTGCTTAGTATTTTAATAGTTCTGTTGTAACACTAGTACTGGCTTGTACTGAGCGTGGGTATTAAGGTGGTGTTTCATTCGTATAGGCAGAGCTTCTGAAGCAGGGAAGTTCTGGGAGGTTCTCACGTTAGATATTACCAGTGTAAGCCGTTCACTTCGTAACTGGAACGCTGTAGGTAGTTGTCTGCCAGTACACCAGATCCAAAGTGTTGGCAAGACTGGCCTTAAGCTGCTCAGTCTGTCACTGCAAACGGCGTACGCCAAGCTGCGTTTGGACGTGCAGCGCTTGCCCAGCTCAAACGGCCGCTGAGACTTTGGACTCGGATCCCCACGGCTTTTAAGGAGCCGTGCGTCTGGTTTGACAGCAAGGATTTTCATAATTTGTTCTTTTTCTTTATATCTACTGCTCAGGGGGTTATTGCAGAGGAGTGGAGGAAACAAGTCTCCTAAAACTTTGACAAAACTGAGCTGTAATCTTTCAACTTTTCGTAGTTGTGCAGTGGGAAGGCAAAAATCAGAAGCAGGAGTGCAAATTAACGGCCAGTTTGCCACGGTCAGCCCCGGGTGTCATCAGGTAGATCTCGTCGAGTCAGAGACTTGCAGCAGGGGGATAAGGGATGGTTTTGCTGTTGTTTTTTTCCGTATCATTATTCCATGTCTCTTTAATTAGGTAGAGTCTTTGAAAGATTTGGATTGATTGAACAGCGTACAACATTTGACAAAGGCTGTGCAATCATGATGTTCAACTTTCTTCTCCCACTTCACGCCTTTGGCTCTGCCTATCTCGGGCTGAATCTGCTTCCTGAATAACAAATGGCAGCTTCCTCCTGCTCTTTATTAATTTGTGCTTTGACATAAAGACCTATTTCTTTGCCTAGGGGAGAAACTACACCAGACTGAACCTTAAGTGTGTCTCTGACTTTGTAGGTGATCCATCGCCTGCCCATGCCGAATCTTAAGGATGAGCTCCATCATTCCGGGTGGAATGCCTGTAGCAGCTGCTTTGGGGATGCCACAAAGAGAAGAAATCGTCTGATTCTACCAAGTCTCATCTCTTCTCGAATTTACGTGGTGGATGTGGGAACAGACTTGCGAGCTCCTAGAATCCATAAGGTATATTTGGATGACTTTAAGCTGGGTGTTTATGTCTTATATTTTGACCAAGAGACGATGATTTTATGGAGTCCAACTTCAAATTAGAGTAGGAGAGCCAGAGCAGTTCTGAAAACTTTTGTCAAACGTTAGGAACTTGTCGAAGTTTTGAAACTCCTACAATTTATTGATAAACTACACACAAAAATCTTGCACTAAAGAAATTTGAGTAAATGTGGTGTCAAACGCTGAAAAATTAGGAAGTTCCGGAATTCAACCTGCCTCTGCAATATGAATTTCAGTTGAAGTAGTTGCACACTCTATTGTTGTTTTTAACTGCAAGATCACGAGTTGAGCTCCTGCATGACACATTGTGGTGGTTTAACCCCAGCCAGCAACTGCCCCACACCGTTTCTCGCTCACCCCCCCTGGCAGAGTAGGGGGGAGAATCAGAAGAGTAAAAATGAGAAAACTCATGGGTTGAGATAAAGACAGTTTAATAGATAAAGCAAAAGCCACACGTGCAAGCAAAGCAAAACAAGGAATTAATTCACTGCTTCCCATCAGCAGGCAGGAGTTCGGCCGTCTTTGGGAAAGCAGGGCTCTGTCACGTGTGTTGGTGACTTGGGAAGACAAACACCATCACTCCAAACATCCCCTCCTTCCTTCCTTCTTCCCCCAGGTTTATATGCTGAGCATGATGTCATATGGTGTGGAATATCCCTTTGGTCACTTGGGATCAGCTGTCCCAGCTGTGTCCCCTCCCAACTCCTTGTGCAGCCCCAGCCTGCTCGCTGGTGGGCTGCGGTGAGAAGCAGAAAAGGCCTTGACTCTGTGTGAGCACTGCTCAGTGATGCCTGAAACATCCCTGTTTTATCAACACCCTTCGGGATGGAACTGGGGAAGGTGACTATGACCGTGTGTGTACTCCTTTTAGGTTGTTGAGCCAGTGGAGTTGTTCCGGAAGGGTAACGTGGCTAATCCTCACACCTCTCACTGTCTGGGCAGTGGTGACATCTTGATCAGCTGCTTGGGAGACCCTTCTGGCAATGGAAAAGGTACTAATCCCCTTCATTACTCTAGAGAAGTACTCGTGGTATAGAGGTGCCATGCTCCCAAAGCACAGGCTGCCAAGCTTACAGTTCTTTTGGGCACGTAACCTTCCAGCAGCTGTTTGAGTAACTACAGAATAAATACCCCAGATCCCAGGTGAGCTGCGTGGACATCGCTCTGCCGTGGCAATTCGGACTGATGTGGAGGAACATCTATGGAACTGGTGATGAGTTCAGCTTCCATGTCTCAGTCTTTCACACGTATTACTAGGGAAGACCAAGTATAATAATATATATCATATGATATATGTAATATGAGCAAGAAACCCATTAACCTTTCACTTGGGTCCCTTCAGCAGGGAGCAGGGAAGAATTGCCTTTGGACACAGTCTGTATCAGCTCAGTATGTGTGACTTGAGCACGAAGGATTCTGTTGCTGACCTAAATCCTCTTTGTCTCACTGTCTCATGAAAATTAAGTCTTTCGAGCTATTGCAGATTGCATTTCCCGTTTAAAACTTTTGAAAGATTCTTGTGTATAAATTTTGTTACCTGTTCAGCTGTAAAACACCTGACATCTAAAGAGAAATAGTAGCTATTAGGAGGAATATACTTCAGATGGTAAGTGGTGAACCCTGCTGCTTTTCACAGGGTTTTTCTCTTCTGGATTGTGGGCAAATGTGTCCTTGAATAGATGCATATTATGTACGGAATTCAGGGATACTGGTGGCCAGCAAAGAGAAACAGGGGTGACTCCTCCAGGTTCTTCTCTAAGATATCCCTTAATTGAAAGGTACTCTAGGAAGGCTAACTGATTTATTGGAATGACTTGAGTGGAAACAGAGCAATCTGAAGCTTAAAAAATTCATTACAATGTGATAAAGTTCTTTAAGAATCCAACTTTCATTTGCTTTAGTCCACAAAAGCGGTGCCAATGGAATCACAAAATTTGCCTTAAGCACAGGGTTGCGTTTTACAGAGTGTTTAGAAAACAGGCGTGTAAATGTTAATGTGTTCTTTCTCTTAAAGCTGTGAATCTGTGTGAATGTCTTCAAACAGGTGTTTTTCTGGTTTTATATCAGGTGGCTTTATTTTGCTGGATGGAGAGACCTTTGAAGTGAAAGGAAATTGGGAGAAGGGGGAAAAGGTGCCCTCCCTGGGCTATGACTTCTGGTATCAGCCGCGACACAATGTCCTGATGAGCACTGAGTGGGGAGCCCCAAAAGTCTTGGCAGATGGCTTTAACCCAGCTGATGTAGAGAGAGGTGAGGGAGCGTTCGTTTAAACTCTCAAAAGTAAAAGTGATTCTTTGTGAAAATAACATCTTCTGGGTCTGTTTTTGTCTGACCTGATCCGTTAGGGCATTACGGCCGCCGCATTAACGTGTGGGACTGGAGCACTCACACCCACATTCAGGCGATTGACTTAGGGAAGGGCTCCATTCCTTTGGAAATTCGGTTCCTCCACGATCCGGATGCTGCAGAAGGGTTTGTTGGATGTGCTCTGAGTGGTGCGGTGCACCGGTTCTACAAGACGGAGGTGAGTAATGAACGCTGTGGCAAACAGAAGCTCACGCCTGGTCGCTTCAGAAATCCACCGATCACTTGGGAAATAGTAGAATTCTGATAAGATAAAAGTGGGTGGGCATTTTGAGTGTCTCTGCAGCTGGGCTGCTCATGTCCAGCATGCAGATCTGCAGCAGCCTCATCCTGACAGGATGCAGAGCTGTGGAGGTCATGGTGCTGGTCTGTCAGCCCCACTTCCAGCTCTCCTGCTCTCCACAGTAGCTCATTGGTCAGTTTAACCACAGTTAATGAATTTGGAGTCTCAAAGAGGGGAAGTCTCGCCAATGACAGGAACGTCAGTCAGCTCCTGGACGTGAGACAATCTAAGGAACGCTCGCACTGCGGAGAGGGCCGCAGCGTTGGCTCAGCAGCCTGTGTCTGGCCACCGAACACGTATCGACCGGGCAGTGACGAGAACATGTGAAACTTGTCACCAGCCTCAGTGCGTGCTGCTGCTGCTTGGTGTGTGGGAGAACAAGGAAGACCTGAAGGTAGAGGAGGGATGGGGTCATGGGCAGGGCAGTAGAGCTGTTGCCATTTTGGAGGGTGAGCTGGAGGCAGACAGGACACCAAGCTGTAGGAGATGAGCAGTTTTTAGTTGTGCTGCTGTTACAGCAAGCTGAGATGTTGTTGCACAGTATAATCCCTGACATTCCCACCGGCAGTGTGGTTACCGTCCTCACCCCCTGGTGACACTGAGTTGCAGCGTGCATGTCACTCCTGTGCAGGACCTGTTAAATAAGTGGCACTGTTTGCTTCTCTCCCTCTGCAGTAATAACGCTGTGTTCTCTTCTGCACCTTCTGCAGAAAGGAGACTGGGCAGCAGAGAAGGTGATCGAAGTACCGAGCAAGAAGGTGCAGGGATGGCTTCTCCCTGACATGCCTGGTTAGTGTGAGCGTGTTTGGGAGAGAAGTGGGGTGGTGCTCTCTTCAGTTCCCTGGTACAGTGTAGCTTTTTGGAAAATCTTACCCTTAAATGGCAAACACTCCCCTTGTAAAATACTAAATTTCTGTCTGGGTCCTTTGTGTCACGCTTCTGATGTCACCAAATTAGCCTTGCTAACGAGCCACTGAGAAGGAGGTTGTCAGGCCCCTGCTCCCACACTGCTCAGTGCCTGAGATCAGTTTGTCTAGAAAAATACTTGGAGTTTGAGTCTTTCAGCATGAGCTTCAGTATTCAGGAATGGCCCTGGGAATGCTGGTAGAGCCTGAACCTCGTTTGGGCAGGTGCTGGATTTCCAAGGATGATTGTGTTTGTTCAGCCCATATCTTAATATATTTTTGTGAGGCTACTATGACTAGAATTTTGAAAGATAATAGGCTTGTGGTCTTGTTGGTTACTAGTCCTGTTCCTGACTTTGCTACTGAATATTTTCTTGAAGGTCTTATTACTGATATCCTCATCTCGCTGGACGACAGGTTCCTGTATTTCAGCAATTGGATACATGGAGACATCCGCCAGTACGATATCTCCGACACCCGCAAGCCCAGGCTGGTGGGACAGGTACGCCAGCGTCAGAAAAGCTGTCGTGTACGAGGGCAGTCCAGTCTTCTCATTTCCTTCTTTTTTAAAAGGAGAAAATGACAATTTACTTTTGCTCGAGAATCGTCTCTACATTGTTTTCATGTTCCTCTCGTAGCCGGCGCCTGGTCTCACACATTCCCTCGGTTACAGGTGTTTCTGGGAGGCAGCATCACAAAAGGTGGACCTGTGACTGTAGTGGAAGACCAGGAATTGCAGAGTCAGCCAGAGCCGTTTGTGATCAAAGTAAGTTTTCCTGTCGTGCACGTTGGCAGTGCTCTGCTGGTCGTAAACCCTTCTGAGATATCCCCACACCTCAGTCAAATGTTCATCATACGAAGCCGTATCTGAGCTCGTTTCTGTCTTGGCTCACAGCCTGGGCAGGTAGCACATTTCAGCATGGGCTGGAGCTGGTAAATCCTGGGAAGTGTTTGTTCTGGCTCCCTGGTGGCACTGGACAAGCTGTTCAAGTGTACGGACGCCTGTGTAGTTACACCTTCCCTGCTGATGTTAGCTGGCAGGTGTAAAGCCGGGGCAGTGTGTGTTCCTCACGCTGCCGTCATCGCTTCTGATCATCTGTCGGCAACTGGCAGCCGAAGCACTGACCCAGCTCATTCTGCCAGTGGGGTGTGCGTGCAGAGTTCGATGGCACCTGGCATCATGATAGAAAAATGAGAGAGCGTTAATTGGCGCTGATCGTTACCCGTGCGCATTGGTATTACCACCGTCAAGGCAGCTGCCTATGGGAAGTCTCAGGGGATAGGCAAGAACTGAATATGGTCCTGGCTACGACCTGTTGGCCACTGGAGGCGGTTTCAGGAAGTTCCACAGACTCCTTTTCTTCATAGTACAGGTTGTGACCTCGCTGCAGCGTAGGAATGTTCGTGCTTGCAACTGGGCTGTGCCACCCATCTCTTCATTTTTGATGCTTCCACCCAAGTACAGCAACCTGAACCCTTCAGCCCATGTTTTCTTACATTACGAGTTCTGTGAATTTAGTGGAGCTCATCTGGATTGGCTTTGAGGCTCCCTGTTAATAAGGACTAAGACTCCCAGTAAAAACTATTCTCTCTCCAAAATGGGATTTGGTGCACTTGTGTCAAGGATTCCAGAGTGCTGGATGATCCTCCAAGTAACAGAACAGCCGTGCTGTTTTGTTTCTCCTTGCTGTGTCATTTCTTTTGTTCAACTTCGGTGGCAGCTTGTCTTGAGCATCTTGTCCTCTGTTATAATTTTAGGGGAAGAAGGTGCCAGGTGGACCTCAGATGATTCAGCTTAGCTTGGATGGGAAGAGATTATATGTCACCAACTCTCTCTACAGTGGATGGGACAAGCAGTTCTACCCAGATCTTGTCAAGTAAGGAAACTTTGGTAAACACAAATGATTGTACAAGCCCATGTTCGAGATTTGAGTTTGAAATAGTGGTACCAGCTGGTACAGAGAGCGAAGCTCCCCCACAGGGAGACGGAACTCAGTAACTGTGCACAGCCTACCAACCTCGACGTTTCGCCCACCAGCCAGAACCCGTCCCTGCTCAACAGGCCCACAAAAGTTGGGGTCTGCACACACGATTCGCTGAAATCATGGTCTGTTTGGAAATAGACGAGAATGGGAAGAAACTTCCAAACTGAAGTTTGGAAGCATATCAGCGTGACTTTCATAGACGAGAATGGGAAGAAACTTCCAAACTGCCTTTGAGCGTATCAGCGTGACTTTGTGGTTTGGGGATTAGAGAAAGGAGGAGATGTTCTTCAGATGGCCACAGGAGGGCATGGTGCAGCTTGCCTGTTCTTTATCAGTACCACCAGCTCTTGGTTTCCACTCGTTCCTTGCTGGTTGGAGGTTGCAGGTTTCTCCGGGGCGGTGTAACTCACTTTGGAGACCTGCTAAGGCCCGTTTTGAATCTGAGATTCTTTCCATTTTACATTAAAGGAAGACAAACCCTGCTCAAATATGCACGAGAAGAGCAATAAATATGAATCCTTTTCCCAATATCTGTTTTCTTGTCCCTTTTTCAGGGAAGGCTCTGTTATGCTGCAGATTGATGTGGATACTGAAAAAGGTGGATTGAAAGTGAATAAAAACTTCCTAGTGGATTTTGGGAAGGAACCTGATGGGCCTGCCCTGGCTCATGAGATTCGTTACCCTGGTGGAGACAGTACCTCTGATATCTGGATCTAATTGTTGTCTGGAGCCATTTTCTTTTTTTTTCTTCCTGGTTTTTTTTTTTTACTTTTTCTTCCTCTCTCTCCTCCTTGTCCTCCACTTCCCTTTTATTTAGGTGAATCGGTTCATCTGGGATTTTGTCCGCTGTCTAAATGTAGGCTTCCATTAGGGTGAGCCACAGAAGCTCCACTTTCTTCTCATTCTGAGGCAGCCAAGTGAATCTCTGAAACGTGGGACGTCTCATTTCTCGGCTCCTTCCCCTTTCACAGGGCCCTGTGTCATCACTATTGCCTGTCGGTTTCAAGGCCGAGGTCACCAGTCTTTTAAGGACTGTTTGTGTTGTTTGGTGCCACTTTGCCTTCCCACTGTTTGTCGATGGAGAAGCTGTTCCTAAATAACTCCATCAGAAGGATACATTCCATGAGCTTCCCCCAGAGCAGAAGTGTCCAGTCCCTGCAAGCTTAGTTTGCTTATAACGTAATCAGTGCTTTCCAGCAGACACAGCATAAAAGTCGTGCATATCTGGTCTGAAGCCACGTGTTTCTGGAGCTGGGTTGTACTTTAACTTTTGTGCACTGATGTAATAAAAAATCAACAATAAACTTGCTCTTCAATTCAGGTGGAGCTGCACTTTTTTTTTTTCTTTCTAGCATTTCAGCATTTTCTACTTCAAAGAACATAAATGTGAGCTCACTTCAGAAAGTAACAATGTCGTTTGTCTAAAAATTCTTTGGTGAGGAATTTATTTTCACTAAATCCACCTTTGATCCCGTTATCACCAGCAAAGATTCCCTGCCATTTTCTATGACTGGAGAAAACTGTAAAAAACTTTTCTGCACACTGTGCCGCAGCCAGGTGATCTGAGCAGCAGGTGTCTTACAGGTGTCTTGCAGTTCTTGAGCAGACGAGCACGCACAAGCCCACCCTTTCTTCTCGGGCCAGTTCCTGGTGCGTCTTCCCAAAGCTGTTTCTTGGGTCTGATTCTCTTTTCTGCCTCTTGGGATCCGTTGCTTTCCCACCTGTGTCCGTTGCCAGTCTCTGCCGTTTCCTGCGGAGCTGTAGCGACGCCAGTCGTAACGCTGGAATCGCATCAGCGGTGCCGGCGGAGCAGCGCATTAATGGGACTTCCCACTGGAGCCTTTTGGCTGGGTCTTTTTCCGACTTTTGCTGTGCTTCCACAGCCAAATCCTCCTCTGCTGACAGACCTGGCTTTATAATCAAGACTTTGTTCTATACGTCGCTGCTCACTGTCTTACCCAGCGTATTTGGAACCAGGCTTCGAGAGTTCCGTGCTTTTAACGTAGGGCAGCGCGATGCTGCCACTTGGTCTCTTTGCAACCTGCGACAAGAGGTTCTGTTCAGACCTTGTAAAGCCGGAGAGCTTTCTGGCGTGGTGGTGCCACCTGTGTCTGATGTAAAAGCCCATTTTCAGCAGCTTGTTAGCAATGGGTGATGTTTAAACCGTCTTGCTGCAAAGACCCGTTGTTTTCCGCGCGAAGGGACGGGTTCAAGAATGGAGTATCCGCTGCCAACTCGTGGAACACTGCTAATAGTCCGTGCTGGGTGGGTGCAGTGAGTGCTCAGTGTCTGGACAATCTCATGTCGTCCAGGAAAGTCATTGATTTGTTCGGAAATCATTTGCTACCAGCCAATACTTCTGGAGCCCGTATTTTTTTTCCACTTACTCCCTATAAGACTGAGCGTTTTAAATTGGAAAAGGTGCACCACCTCCCCGATGGCCACGGGAGGGCAGCCCGCAGCCTGTCTTCGTGCAGTGCACAGGTACATCCAGGAGCTTCTCTCACTCCAAAAGCAATTTCATGTCGTGATTTTCCAGAGATCACAAACTTGCTGTGAGGGTGGCCCTCAGGGCGCTTCTCGGCCCATCAGTGTGTTGCAGGGTGGCTGAGGTCTCTCATGCCAGCTACAGTGAGTGCTCCAGGCTGAGTCTCATCCTGAAATTTCAGTTGGAAACGCCCCCGAACACAAGTGTGCACAGCTACTAAGTGCAGATTGCTTCTGTGACTTGCAAAGACCAAATGTTAAATGCAAAAAGGTGCTTAGAGAAGGAAGAGAAAAGCAGAGTGTGGGACTCGCTTGAATTGAAATATTTCCTTTTTTCCCAACATCTGCTGATTTGGGTACTGAAGAAGGTAAGCTGTGAGCAGAGAGTTTCTCGTGATTCTGGGAGGAAACCCACTGGGTCCCACCACACTTACGAGGTCCATGTCCATAGTGGAGATTCTGCTTTTGGTGTGTGTGTCTGTCCGTGTCTGCTTTATTGCGGTGTGAGCTGCACCGTGGGCTCACCGACTGTATGGACAGCACCGTCATGGCTGCCAGGGAGCTTCTGAGGGGACACAGTCAGCCAGAGGCTGCTGGAAACGGGCCTTGGAATTTCAGACATGAGCCAAATGCCTGCTGTTGGGAGAATCTCCAAAGGTGCTATGAAACCTTACCCTGATGAGTGACTGCCGTCTCTCTCATGCTTGTCAAAGTGGAAGAGACAACTGCAGTGAGAAAGAATGAGTTGGTGAATGCAGAGTAGGTCCAGATACATGGTGGGTCAAAAAAAGATTCTGACCTGTTCATTAGTGGTGTTGTAGAGGTTTCACCCACTGGACGAAATCCACCCTTACTCACAAGCACACAAAGTTCTGGGTCTGCGCACGCTGTTTGCTGAAACCATCATCTCTTGGGAAGTAGGTAGGAACGTGAAGAAGCCAGTGACCATGGCCAAGCCTTCTGCAGGCCATGGTACTGCCAAACTGCCCCCGAGTGCATCAGCCAGGCTTCAGTTTTTGGCAGTGAGGAAAGCAGATGATCCAGGTGACCACAGGAGGGCATAGCGCCGCTCGCCTGTTCCCGAGGGAGTAACTTGTGCCTGGTTTTCACTCCTTGGATTTGGTAAATTGAGGTTTGCAGATCCATTTGTATTTCTGATGGCAGGTCGTGTCCAAGACAAGTAGATGTGTTTATACCAGAGAGTCTGTTTGCAGTATTTTCCACAAGTGCAGGAGGACAGAAGGATGTGTTATATCCCTGTTATTTGCTGGGAAAGTTATAGAATGCAGAATAGTTTCTGCTTCAGTGAAACCAGAGCAATCGTGATGAGAGTTACCAATAAAACCCCTGATTTTTGGTCTGGTACCTGGAGCTCTGTGTCTCTGGTGAAGCCTGACGTCCCGCTTTGGATCTCAGAGTGAAGGGAAGTGCCTTGTTGTGTACAGAGAGGTGGAAACGAGTCCTTGGGGTGG